CTTTGTCCTTTTTAAAATCACAATGTGTTTACAAGCTAAATAAAAACAATACATCTTTATCGTACACTACAGCTGGTGAAATATTACTTAAATCACAGCTGGACGTTATTGGTTTGGATAAATTTAAATTTTGCATAGATTTAGAAGCGTAGGTGATACCTCAGCAGCTAAGAACGGGAATTCTGATAGATTATTGATGCCACATGGTAGATGGTCATCAGATTATTCTAAAGATGGTTGTATTAAGGACAATTTACATCGTCGTTTGGTTGTATCTTTGAATCCTGGCATCTAATTCTGAACTGTTTCATTTCCTTTTTTTCGATGTTACTGCGAGTAACTAATCCTATTTCTGTGTTGTCTTGTTTATAGCCTATTCAATTCAGAAAAGAAATACTTTAAAATTCGGACGTGCAGGGCGAAGGAGAATTTAAATATATTTCATTTCGTTTAAAATTGGGTTTTTCCCGTTTGCTATTTGAAGAACTTATATATAGATGGTAACTAGTATAACTACATGTAGTTCTTATACTAGTTCTGCAACAGTACTTACTATTTATAAAGTTTGATGTTAGGTGCAAAGGCACGAGAAAAATTAACGTGGTTTCTATGGGTGGGGTTTTATGGTACTATATACATTTTGGCATTTAAATGTATTATTATTGAATTTGCTCGCAGTTACGTCGAATCGAAGTTAGTCACATTAGTAGATACAGTTGCTGCTATGTTTATTACATGTATTTAGATGTTGTTTGAATTGAAAAAATCTGTACAATTAGGTAAAAATAAATTATTGTTTGGCAAGACAAAAGAATATGTTAATGCGAGCAACTATATATTTTTGTGTTTTGTCTTGTTTATCATGTTTATAACCAATTGAATTTAGAAAAGAAATACTTTAACTTTGGACGAGCAGGGCGAAGAAGCATGTACCAAATAGGATCGCATGGAAAACTTAAACAAAAATATAATGGCCCTATCCATTTACCTATTTTTCATGTGTTCCACGTGCCTTGAATGATTGTTCATCAATGTCATGATCGGTTTAATTTCGGCAACAAACTCGAAAGTTAATAAGCATTCGGTCAACAAATACTGAAAGAAATATGTGTAATTTGTCAATAACACGTAACAGAATCGTAATAAATGTAAAACAACGTGAACACAGGACTTATTTATGCATGTGTTTGTTCAATAATTTCAAAAACATAAAAACTACAAGAACTCGTTTTAAATGACTTTAAATTTATAAATTATGATACATAGACATTCCTATTACATTTCATATAATTATGTTTACAGTTTTAATTCACCATAAACCGACCAACAATCACTGTATGAAATATAAATTGTCGATAGTACCTAACAGATTCGTAATGAATTTAAAAAAGAAAACGTGAATGCATGACTTAGTTCAGTATTTATGCATTCATTTGATCAATAATTTCGAAAAATATATCATTACAAAAACTCGTATCATTTGACTTTAAATTTAAAAATTATGATATGAGCTGCGTCGGATAGAAATCAACCTTATTCAATTATAAGACTTTAATTAGTTTTAGAGGATTTAAATACGAAATAAAAAATGAATTATGGTCTGTTTTGTAGATTTTCGTATAACAGCTCAATTTTCATACCGTTACAGATTTTGCAAAGAGATTTTTCAAATAGGTTAACAGATTATTGGTATTCATTTGCATATGGTCGATTTCTATCTAATGCAGCTCTTTTATAGAAACTCATATTACATTTTATAATAAAGTAATGGAAAAAGTTTTTGCTCACAATGAATTGTGTTTATTTATACATGTTATAAATGCACGAAGTTTTTTTTATTTCATTAATAATTTAACAAAGAAACTTTTAAAGTGTTGAATCACTTGTCGTGTCACTATTTATCATTCATTTACCAATAACATAATTTAAATAAGTATTGCTTTCATAATTGTTTTTTTCTTTATTTAAGAGATAAGATTTAAACTTTTAAGAATGGACATGAATAAAAAGAAGAAAAAAAAAAAAGAAATAACCCTGATATTTATTTTTATATTTGTATGAAAAGGATAAATCTATATGAAAATACAAGGTTTAAAGTGAATAGAATATTATTTGGAAAAATCAAAGAACAACTTGTGTCACCCGTTTGTAATTTTTCTGAAAAACCGGATATGTAAAATAAAAGTATAGCCCCCTGGAGTGTCTATGGCAAATGTATTCCAAGTGATTTTATATCAAAGACATTGTTTTGATAAAAACAAAATAATAAAGCAAAAAGAAAATTGCGCTGGTGAATACAAATAACACTTGATAAAGCGCTTTTCTGTATTCACCATCATCAGGAACACTCTAACCAAAAACATTTGAAATCTCGGGGAGAACATCTATCTAACATGATATGAACTAAATTACCATACGGGACATAAACATAATTGCTTAATTTATCTCAGGTTAGCTTAACCGGAAGGAGATAGAACCTTGATGATAATTAAATAAAAACATAATGTCATTGATTATTTTCTTTTATTTAATTAAGTTCTATTTGTTTTTATCTTTCATTTATTTATTTATTTATTTACTTATTTATATATTTATTTATTTATTTATCTATTTATTTATTTATTTGTTAATTAAGTAATTTATTTATTTATTTATTTAGTTATCTATTTATTTATTTATTTATTTATTTATTTATTTATTTATTTGTTTATTTATTTATTTATTTATTTATTTATTTATTTATCTATTTATCTATCTTATTTATCTATTCATTTATTTTATGTTTCAGATTATTGCTCAATTAACTTTTTGCTCATGATAGGTTTTTTTCTTTTTGGCACAAGCCAGGGCCGACCGTTCAATACCCTCGTGGGTAGTCAAAGGTCGTTGAAAATCACCCTTGTCGTCATTAATGGTTTTGTAAAGAAATAAAAGAGGGGTATGTATGTTTTTACTGTGAAAACTATCCATCCGAGATTACAGAACATGAACGTAAGCCATTTTAGTCAAAATTAAAGTCATAGAAGACTAATTATAGAAAAGAAGATGTTGTATGATTGCCAACGAGACAACTCTTCATAAGAGACTAAATGACACAATAATAAACAACTATAGGTCACTGTACGGCGTCAAAAATGACTAAAATCAATACTGCACAGTCAGATATAAAAGGCCCCGAAATGAAAAATGTGAACAAAATCAAACAAGAAAACTAACGGCATAATTCATGTACAAAAAAATGAAGGAAAAACAAATATGTAACACAACAACAAACGACAACAACTGAATTACGGGCTCCTGACTTGGGAGACACACATACATACAGAATATGGTGGGGTTAAACATGTAAGCGGGATCCGAACCCTCTCCTTAACCTGTGACAGTGGTGTAATAGTACAGCATAAGAACGAACTAAACAATTTAGTTGAACAAAGCGTAACTCATCAGATGAATACAAATAGAAATACATCTAACAAAAACACAGAGTGGAATTGACCGGGTACTTGTACATCTCAACAGCAAAAGGAAACTAAGTACAGATCTGAGAGTACTCGCAGTTACTGACAGCTAGGTCAAAATCAATAACAACTAATAAAAAAAATCATGTATCTAAGACTAAATTTTCAATCATTACACTCCAACATCCAATGAATTTAGTGTCAAGACGTCATAAACAGTAAGAGTAAACATGACCTTGTGCAATGCCAAGATAAATGTATCGACAGATTGTAGATCCATGAATGTGCAAATGTATAAAACAATAATATTTAGTTTGCTTTTAGTTTACTGATAACGAAATGCATACCCAGCAAACACAAAAACATCTTTAAAATGTTTTTAAAATGTTGTGTCAAATGTCATGAAAATATCACAAAAAAATGTGAGAAAAACATTAAATGTATGGTAGAATATATATCGCTAAAACGTTTTCTAATATATTTTCTAAAATATTTGCATAATATAATTAAAATGTTGTAAAGAAATATCATGATAATGTGAAAAACAATGGCGTATAAAACATTTTGATAATCTTTTAAAAAATATTTTCTGGAAATATTTTCTGAACGTTTAAAAAACATCATGAACATCAAATAATGTTATCAAAATGTTTTTTGGATGTTTTCTTGCAAGTGAGACTGTGCCTAAAAAATGTTTTCAAAATGTTTTAAGAAGATGTTTTTGGTTGATATCTAGATCATATCAATATAAAAATTTCTGTACTTTTGATTGAGTTTCCTGCTTTTTTAAATAACAAATCATTAGTTAAATTAATTTATACACAGTGATTAATTCTATATACAAACAAGAATAAATCAGTTGTTTTGCTTAGCATATATGAAATTCACAATTCAAAGTCTCTAAAAACAAGAAGTATCTACAAATTTTGACACATCCAAAATGGCAGACACAACTCATCATGGTCAAGCCACTTACCAAATATGAAGTCATTCTGTTCATCAGCATTACTAATTAAAGTAATGAAAAATTTGAGAACATTCAACATTTTGAAATACAATGTATAAGCAAACAGGAAACAGGTGCCAGATACAAAAATGTTCACACATCACAGTTCATCACTATCAAGCAGCTCATTAAATATGAACTCATCTTTATCAGCAGTTTTGGGAAAAACAGTGATGAAAATATTTGTTGGACAAAATCCGACAAATATAGGTGGACAGACGACAGACAGTGCAGGAAAGCCCACATTCCAACCACAATGGTATAATGTTTAGTTTTTCACTCTCAACTTTTATTACCTATCTTATATACATCATGCATATGTCAACCTGAACATGCATGACATATATGCCATTGGACATTATGCAAACATTATACACATTTTTAAGTTCAAGTTACATTGACTAAAACTTGTGTCCCAAATTCAGATTTTTCAATACAACTTCTCTTTCTAAACTAAAACGCTACACTTCTAATAGGGTTACATCTTAAGTCAATAGTCATTGATAATTGGCTGAAGAGATGAGAACAAAACACCATTTTACATCGACTATTTGATTTATTTAAGAATACATTGAAAAAGTCAATCAATTGTCTTATTCAAAATCACTTGGAATGTCTTGTAGTGTCATATATCTTTTTCTTGCTGTGCCATGCTTCTGAAAAAAAAATAATCTTACATTCATATATAAACTTCTTGCACATTCCTTTATTATAGAACGATCCACGTGGCCTGAAGGATATACATCCCCTCCCCTTTAAAGTTTTGAAACAAATAACGATGATAGTCTGTCGGAAGGGGACGATAAATGGCTGACCGTGTTAAGAGAGAGCAATATGCCACGCTGAACTTCATTTAGTTATTAAAAAAAACTTGAGATATGTTTCCAGTCAAGAGTCTTATTTCATTATACTCGTTGATTGTTGTCTATCATATTTTTTTTCTTTTATTGTTTTGTATAAATCAGGCTGTTGTTTTTCTTGTTTTTTTTTAATTTTCATTAAATGCGTTGTATCATGTAGGGGCCTTTAAAAGCCCTGCTACATAATGTCATTAAACATCTTATTGTCCTTTTTAAGTGTTAAATTCTGTAGAGTGACATAGTTTATAACTTGTCATTTGTATGATCTAAGGGCATATGATACAGTACTAGAAGTATACTATAGGCACATAATAACTTATCGAAGTGTTACGCATTGTTTTCGCAATGATGATAATAATATAACTTAACTTCCAAGAAACACACATATGTCATTAAATGAGTTGTTTATATGTATTTGAAATACTTCAAAGGAAAGCAAATATGTTGTTTATGAAAGCACACTGTTGGACTAAAAGATTGATTTAAATAAACAACTTGTTTCTATTTTGTCACAAAAAAAATAATTTATTCAAATATCCAGATATCTTTTCTGCATTGTATGTTCTTAATCTTGAATGTAATGCATTGTTTATGCTTAATATTTGAATTAAATATGGAATAACAGTAATTCTGTATGAAAATATTACTTCAAAAAAAAAATTCTCCTGAAAGGTTGTAGACATTCCAAAGAACCTGCGCCACTTCCAAATTGTAAACCTGCATATTGAACTTGTCCTTTGTGGCTTTTCTTTTAGCTCCTGTTAAAAAATAAAAGATACATAGTATGTACATTGTGTGTATGAAGCAATAAATATAATTTTAAGCAACAGTTTATATTATCTTGCTTGTACTGAAGTCGTACATAGTCTTTGTAATGTTCATTAAGCTGTTAAGGGAAATTTAATTTACTGTTTTGCAAATACATACATACACTGATTTTACTAGAAAAAAAAATCCTCATATTCAAATGGTGCTTATATCATGTATATTAGTGTTATTGTTACTTGTTTGTGTGCCTCGGAAACAAGGTATTGAGTCATGCTTATTGCAATAGTTGTTGTTGGTTTAAGTCTGTCAAATTTCTTTTTCATAATGTGTATTTAATGTAGGCAGTTAGTTGTTTTGTGAGAAAAATTTAACATTTGTTTTTCAAGGCTTCAAAGTGAGACTATATGGCATTGGTTTTCTCAGTTTTGAAAGCCGTAAAGTGACCTATAATTTCTTTTATCCAAGTCATTTAAATTCTGGTGGATAGCTGTCTCATACACCTTATCGCTATTTCAGTATTTGGAAATCTGTCCCGCTTTTACGTCAGCATACGTCATACAATAATACACCTTATCGCTATTCCCGCTTGACCCGAGAATCTATCCTGCTTGAACTTTTGACGTCAAACAACAATCACTTTTCCATTGTAGCATCAGATATTTTTTATGATGACGTCAAAATTTTAAGGGAACTTGTGACAGTTGTGTGATGTCCAGTAATGGCGAACAAATAGCAATAAGGTGTATTGCTTTCAATTGTGGTGTCAAATATTTTCTTATATGACGTCAACATTTTACGGGAACTTTTGTGATGTCCATGGCCAGTAATGGCGGACAAATAGCGATAAGGTGTATTAGCAATCAAACACACAAGCCACATATCCTTATAATTTTTTTTATATCAATGCCAATGAACAAATTCATAATTGGTGTACGTAGATGCTTGAACAGTGGCGGATTTAGGGGCCCCGACCCCCTTATGGAGCTACTTATAAGATAAATGTATAGACTATTTACAAGTAACACTCCAAACGTTTGCTTGTCTTGGGCAGGGGCCCCCCTTTTTCAAAACCTTGATCCGCACCTCCAGAAACAGATGTAATTTGGTTCCGATTATGATTGAACACACACAATGAATGCACAAGTTTCATCTTAACAGATTAATCATTCTTACCAAGTGAGTATATATCGCGTAACAAACAATTTTCTTGGCTCTCTTTGTTGATCATGTTCATTGTTGATATCCTGTCTTCGTTTCGAAATTCAAATTTCAAAATCATTTCTGGTGATAAAACAAAAGTCGATTCCGGAAAAGGTCGGTTTTCCGTAAGGCATATAAACGATACGAAAATTGAACTTAGTACAGTTACAGTTTTTATTTCTTAATTTCTAAAATATACACGAACGAAGTTAATAAACATTAAAGAAAGGTGATTGTTTATTAATACATTATTGCTTAATTTAATGTTGACTCTTTTGAATTTTAATATAAGAAGGAATAAAATCTGACTTCAAGGATCTTCAAGATATCAATTAAGGACTTCAACCATAGTATCTTGCTTGTCATGATATTGATGAAATGTAGTACTATATCTTATCCTGAAAAAAACGAGCTAATTCCACAAAATGTTGTTTGTGGGGTTTTGAATAAAGTTTAAATAAAGTGTTATTTTTATATCCGTAAAATGTTGAATAAAATATCAGTAAGACTATTAAGTAATGTGTATGTCAGAATATTTTATAGAAAACATTTAGCTGATATTTTTCAGATGTTTTATGTAAAACATTTTAATTTTACGTTATAAAACATTTTATGCAAATAGCAAAACTATATTTTCTGGAAAACATTTTTTTGCAGAATGTTTTTTTGGATATTTGAAAAATATTTACTTTAAATGTTGTAAAAATATAAAATACCAATTGAAGAAAATATCATTTTTTTATATTATAAAATATCTACGTGATATTTTAGAACAATGTTTGAGAACATGAATAAAAGATATTAGCAAATAATATTTTGTTAATGTTGTAAAAACATTTTACTTAAATGTTAGAAACAAAACATTTCAAAAACAATAAAATAAACATTTTTTTTTTGTTTAAATGATATCTTATTGAAATATTTTGTGAGAGACGTCCATATGACATTTAAAAAATGTTTTTAAAATGTTGTGTGTTTGCTGGGTATTAGTTACAATAAAAACTGTATTTAAAGATATAATTACAGTGTTGAATTGTCAACCTTTTAGAATAAGTTTATTTAAAAGATCGATAAATTTCTGAGCACGGTAAACAACATCTCCGTAAAAATGAGGATGTGCTATCCCGTTTCAAATAAGTTTTCTACAGGTAAAACCAAATATGTATGTCTATGGAAGAATTTAGTTAAGGTTTAAAGTAATTTGTGGTAACGAAATCACCGACTTAATAATTTAACAGTTATAAATATATTACGTTCATTAAAATCAAAAACGTCACAATAGATACGGGCATAGCGAACGAGTTGAGATATATAAACACCGTAAGATGGTGTCAAAGGAACATAACCATCCAAAAGAGAACATTAACAATAGGGACCAAAAAATTCATTCCTTTTATTGTAAAAGTTAGTGTGGAGTTTCCCGTGTAAAACCAAAATATCTAAATCTAGGAATCTAACTTATTACTTCTATTGCTTAATTCTTGAATGGTAATAATTCTATCCCCTTTAAAAGGGAGATGGATATGATTACCAATGAGACAACTTTATCCATTAAGGATCAAGGAAAAAGACATGAGCGTTTATTTGTTGTGTGCAATTTGCCTCAGATTTTCTCTTTATTGGAAAGACCTTTGGGATCTATTATAGATTCAAGAATGATTTATTTACCTTTTATTAACACTACATACATGTACCCATATAACTTCCGTTGTGTTCGTTCGTGTTTGTTCTGCAAGGCAAGACTATCTCTTGTTTATTAAGTTGTCTGTTTATTGTCATCTGGGTTTCGATTAAAATTATAAATTGTATTGATAAGTTTAAGATTACTAAGAAATAATATAGTGTTATTAACTGGCTGTTTCTGTTTTGGCCCTGGTATATATTCAATGTAAGCTTGTTGGCACGAGGCTCGAACAGATGACGTCAAAAACAGCTAATAGAGAAAGTATACCAGGGCCAATACAGCAACAGTCAGTTCGAAACACATTAATAAAATGATTCTAACCCTCCGTACTCACTAGACATCTTACCGTTATATACATTGTCGGTACAGGAAATTACTTTTTTCTTCAATATTAATTTTTTTTAAATTTCCAGTCTAGGTACTTAAATTATGCTAATGCAATTCATTTTTATCTAGCACCAATTAAGTACCTACATGTAGGAAGAATACATGATACAGTACGGGTAGAGACTTATTATTATGGATATCTTAATCCGTCTAGATGTCAGACTGGCCGGACAGTTGTCTCAGTGTAATTAACACCTGCTGTGATATTAACCTTTACAATATCCGAGTGGAAGGTCGTAAATCAATCTGTACCAGCTTGATTAGAACTAAATTTTACCTGTACAGATATTTTAGTATTTAGGGAGGATAGACAATAAATGTAAAATATTGTTTTGTATTCAAAGAAAAAATTACAATAAAAATAAAAATTTAATATCATGAATATGGGATCAACTTTTTTTTAACTTGAAAATGAAAGAAAGACGATTTTTGACAATGTACTGTAAAAATGTGTTGCCAATTATAATATTTGTATTTGTATTTGTAAACCGTAAATATTTCATTTTATTCAAAATTATAACAACCAGGACTGTTTTCAATCGAAGTTTTAATCAAAATGTTGAGACATCAATCCCGTAAATTAGACGAGTTTTCGTTGATGGTTTCACATGTTACAATATTTCCCCCTTTTAACGTCCTGTTCCTTAAAGTTATTAATAGAAACACAATTTTAAGAATAAGGCCAACATATCATATTTATAAAGTATATAAACAAATTGAATAAAGGCATTGTGAATAAACTGTTATTTTCCTTTCAATACCACGTTCCCCGTCGGAGCCTCTACGTCTATTCATACCTGTCAATCATTTCTCGCAAGTAAAACAATTTGGTCAGCCAGATCATCCGTGCTTTCTATTTTGATTTATATTTCCCGTTAATCTCTTTGAAACAATTGTTTTTTTTACAAATTTATAACGCAGTGATCATCTTTCGATTCCTAGTTTTTATATAAAAAAAACTTTTCATATGCACGTCAATATTATATGACACAGCATAATTTTAATTTTTGTTTGTTAATAAATTTACATATAATGGAAATAACAAATTTGTTGACACTCGTTGTATTATAACAAAGATATTGCCTTTCTATTTCCATGTTTGAAATTTTAATGAAAATCGTGTTTTTTATAAACATATTTTACGAATTGTGTCAATTAATACATGAAGATCAAAGTTTTACACTATTCATGATCAGCCGTCTTTACTTTTGCGTCGTATTTCTAGCCATTCTCTAAAGCTTGTGCAGTCAGTGAGATTTTGTAAATCGATGTCGGCAGTTTAAATTGTATAATTCCCGAACTTTAAAGGAGGTGTCCGAATAAATTATTTAAATAGGAATCTTGGTGTTGACTAATAAATATAATAAATGAAATAGTTAAAGAAGACTAAAGCTTGTTTTGTTTATAATTACAAGGATTAAATTTTCTATTCTGGTAAATCAATTATAAATGGATCTCGATTAAGAGCCTCAAAACTAACGCACAATACTGCCAATCATTACGTATCAAATTAAATCATGTATGGATTTTCCCACGGTCGGTCAGTAAGGTCACCTGTGTTAACTGTTACGATATTTCCCGCCATATGAAAATCACGTGCATTTGACAAAATTAATCCCAGCTATTTTTAGCATTCAACATTGTATTGTGAGTGAAGTCAAGTTCAAAGTTCAACCACATGCTGTTGATCACTGATATGTGTATCATGGAATTGTCTTTTCACGGCAAATATTTTTTTTAGATTGGGGTCAAAAATACAACATACAAGTTAACATGCATTGTGCGTAAATTAATATTATGCAATTAAGAGTCAATGCAGCACCATAGAATTATTTTAATAGGAGTAATTACATTTCTTTATGACTACAAATCATAGTAAATATTTAATTTACTGGTCATCAAACGATTGAATGCTTCTAGTGTTAATGTCCATTCATGTCAGTGGCAATTATTTCATGCATATTTAACAAACACAGAAATATCAAAATAAACCTAATTCCCGAGAAGAATCGTTATCTTCTTCTCCTAGTGTTATTATTTGCGTACTACTTTAGTTATAATTCACAATTATAAAGAATCACCAAACTACTAGTATACAAGTATTGCTCACTGTAATTATTTTTATTTCAGAACTGACCCAACGCAGACTGAAAATTAAATACAAATGTAGTGTTGTCAGACTAAAACGTATACAGCAGCACTTTGCACATCATTCTGCTAATCAATGGGTTTACGTGGAAAATAAATCAGTAAAACAAAAATTACCTTCCAGAAATAAAAAAGAAAATATTTTAAAAACTGTATGCCAACAAATACGAAAAAGATACATAACAAAAAAAACAAAACAGGGAACATAGAAAATAATATTTTGAGGAATATAAACAGCATTTGAAATACAAAAAGCCATAATTAAAAAAATAGGCTATTTTTATTAAAACAAAGTTGTCTCCAGTACTTCACCTGTAAAAATATTTTATGTCAAATACGATGTAGAACTAATCAATAAAGTGACTTAGAGGTTTAATTCACAGGTAACCTGATTTTGAAATCAGTGAAGCGTAATAATCTAGTAGCACGGATTGAGATGAAAGGACAATTATATTACCGTTCACACCTGGATCTGTTGATTAATGACCATACTACCTACCATAAAAAAGTCGGATTATTCATTTCCGACATGTCCCAGTCCGTTATTTATAGTAATAAGTCTCTACCCGTACTGTACATTATACCTTTCTTATTCATAATGTACGCGTTTTGTGTTTTTGATGGACGGAAATGAAATAATAACGAAAAATTGAAAATTCTACTAGGAAAAGTAATGGAATACTTCCCCATCAAACCGTAAGAAATCAAAAGGATCATTATGAAATTGTTTTTTTTTTCATTTGTAATTGAAAAATGTGTCCTATTTCTATTCTATACATACAAAAATAGGTGAAGTGTAAA